AAGGACCTCTTACAGCGAAGTACTCAAATACTTGAGATGAGTTTAATCAGATTCAGATGCCAGAGAGTAGACACAGGTGAGAGATTGAAGGGAGGGAATTTAAAATTGTCAATGAGGCCTGAAAATTCAAACAAAAGTAATTTAAAGATACGTTCGCAAAAATTTGGTATACCTTTAATTTGGTGGGAGTGGAAAAAAAATTTAAAAAAAAAAAAAAGACATTAAATAAATTCGACCCCCAGACAATCCTGTGTCTGTGCTCCTGGCAAGGTTCATCTATTTTCCGTAAGCGTCCAAGGGAAGACGTGATAGCTCGTAAAAACTAAGGTCCAGTGTATTTTACGCTTCCCAATTCGTAGAGGATTACATGGGGAGATTCGGAAGAAACTTCGTGAAAATATACCACGGGCATTGTTGTTATTGGCCAGAACGGAATGTTTGCCTCCGCAGGGCGCTTCGACGGCTTTAATTTGCTTCGTGCTTTTTTAGGTTCTCTGGCAGGATTCCAGAAGGTCCCTTTCGTCCCTTCGTCGTGGCCTCTGCACACTCTTGGAGGACCCACGTATACGCCATGTCACCTCCCGAAGGTACGGCCCTGCCAGCCCGTAGGGATCTTTATATTAAATACGTTTCTCCATCTGGCGACGCGGCCTCGCACTGTCGTTTCGTAAAAAAAAAAAGCTCCACGACGACAACGTCAAAACGGCAGAGCGATATGAGGGGTAGGTGAAAAATGTGAGAAAAAAATAAAAAACAAAAACCAGGTATACCAACTCAAATCAAATCTACCCTGTTGCATCGTCACGTACGTCGCTACTATACTATTGACAATCTTCAACCCCGAAATACGATATAACGTAATAACATGGTATCGCCAGTCGATATACCTTTAACGAAAGAAAAAGTTTCTTATACAGGGTGTCCCGTGAAACATAATTTTTGCTTAAATCCATAACAACAATGGTACTCGGGTTGGTCGTAAGAGAACAATGAAAAATCAACTTCTACAATGTGCGGAAACGCCTCCGCATTTTTCCGTCGGGTAACAAAGGAAAAAACAAAAGGATTTACGAGATTAATAAACCGTGTTGTTGCTTCGAGCTCAAATGAAGACAACAATACAAGGAAATCTCCTTTGTACGAAAAGTAACGTGACGTGCATCTTAAAAGAAGTATACGAGATAAATTTCTCGTCTAAATTAAAATACAATAGTAAACGGTGCTAGTATTAGTAGTAATAATAATAATAACAACAACAGCAACAGTGTAAAAGTCTATTGTTGCAAATGAATTATTTCTAGAGAGGACATCGTATATCCAGGACCAAGACCAGAAGTGCCTTTCCTCCAAGAGATCTCGAGGACCTAAGCAAATTACTACAGAAGGAAATCCTAGGGCGACGCCTGGCGTCACGACGTCCGTCCTACCCAAGTGAAATTACTGTCCTCTCATAGAGCTCACGTAGAAACACCTATACCTAGGCAATCTATATTTTCATATGTCCTTGGTGCATTTAGGATCCTATCCTCTTCTTCGACGTCTCTTTTTATTCTCCATCAGGCTATGTAGCTGCAGCCAGGTAAATAACTGGCTACACCTGGGGCCATGATACCATCCTGTATGTACACAGAATATATATGTATATATAGGCTCCTCTCTCTAGAGTAAAGCAAGTCGCTCCAGTAGCATAGAAAGCGCAAAGCTAGCAAGGTTAGTTCACATGATCCCAAGAGGAGTTTCGATCTCGTGTTACTTCTCTTCGTTCGGCGAGCCGAATCACTGATGGGAAATAAGCTGAGATCGTTTCTCAGTACGATACCGGAAGTGGAATGGTCGCTGGAGGAAGATTCAATCCGGTCCGCGTCAGCTCCCACTGCGAGAATCGTGAGGACTTTCCGAGTCCTCGCGCCGCTCTGCATTATATACGTACAATTCTGCAGATATATATATATATGTATATATCATACGTATAATATATATAGACCACTTCCCATACCCAAAGGATCTTCTCGAGTTTCACGATATCCTTTAAAAATGGTGTCGACGGTAGAGACATTTATAACCGAAAGATTTATCTCGTTGCTTATCAAAATTTCTCTATCGTCCCTGATAGCACGGATGTCTATATAGATTTTATGAGTAATTGGATTCAGCCAATCGGACAGCCAGTAGGCGCATGGCCTAGGTGGATCCTGATGTACGTTGGTGGCCTCTGGCACCACCTGGATTTAGCAGGTGGAATGAAGCACGACGTCGACGCTCTACCCATACCGAAATTCAATTTAACGAACGTCACTTCGCCTTCCACGAGATATGGCAGGATTTTCAAGAAGCCGAGACGACGTCCTGACACACGAAGGATGGAGACGCCTCTACCTCCTCGTAGCCTGTGTATACGCAATACTCTGTATGCATCCTCAGATGCATTGTCGATGTCCCAGGTAGGAGATATATCGTTATGGAGGTCGTCCTGACTGGAACCACTCTCGTGCCGAAGTCTCCTTGACAGTTATAAGATGCCTCGTTTGTACTTGTCGTCGCGACAGGATTGGGCCTAAGCCATGGATGCATCGAGCGACTTTCGCCATGAGAAAAGTCGCATAACGGGTGTGCAAGGTGTTGGCGACGTGTAGGATGGCCCAGGATAAGACCTCAGTTGATTTATGAGAATATATGGAATATCGAATGTGTCCTGGTTAAGAAGGATAGGTCCTTGGGATCCTTTATTGGTAACGTTGAGAACACCAGTTCCTTGGATACGTCGAATAAGTAAATGTGCAAGGACAGTACCTATAAGGTAAAAACGTAAAGTTCTATCGATCCTTGGAAAAAAGAATAAGAAAAATGCCATACCTCGGACGGATATAAAGAAAATGCAGTGAATTTCAATATTCTTGGGAAAATGATCCTTGCACGGACTCTTTTTATATACCACAATTTTCTCAAAGCCAAGTGGGTTGGGATACTCGAGAGCATCTTCCGGTACGACGTACCGACTGTTCTTTCTTAGCCATTGTCAATGAGTCCGCAGGGTGGGTTGCAGTGCACTTGACTAGCTGGTATCAGGTCCTCGAAGAAGAAACAGAGAATGAAGGTGAGAGGGCTCGTGGGCGCTGAAAGTCAAAGGAAAGTCTTAGAAAGATAAGATATAGGAAGAGGGTAGGTATATCTACCTGTATTCGTAGGTCAATCGAATTCCTGAGGTCATCCAGGAGGACCCTCAACTTTTGAAGACCGTGAAAAATCCGCAGGACGCCATGGCCGTGCCCTGGTGTCAAAGTGGATGGAAGAGACAAGGGTTCGCGAGAAGCGTCAGGGGGCGATAAGAAAAACCACGAAAGGACTAGGGTGGCAGCAGTGGCTTCCTTCTTCCTGGTCCCGCAGGAAAATTCGCTTTCAAGGGGTCGAAGTCTTCACGTTTGCGCGACGCGTTCCAACTTCGTCCCTCTTAGAGTTTCCGAGCTGCTCCGGAAGTGGGCTTCGCCCATTACAACGGGGTTAGGGTAAGAGGCTGAAGGTGAAGCTACGGCTAAGGGTGAGTACGAGGTACGAGGGTGGGGGTGAGACCGAAGACTGAGGACGTTCAGAAGGTTGAGAACCAGACCCTCTTAACCCACCCCTTTAATGCCTCCTGATAGATATATCTATTACTAACTACATACATCCACGGTCCACCCTTAGATACAGATACTCAGGTCCTCCTCTCCTCCAAATCATAAGTCCAGGCAATATGGCGTCCTAATGGCACGAAGGCCAAGTGCCACGGAAGTTTTTAAGCTCCCTGAAAAACTGCGATTGCCGCCGGATTCCTTTACGAGTCTAGAGAAAGAAATGGCTGTAACGCGTAGGGGTTATGTCGCGGGAGGGCGACGCCTTTGGTAATGCTGGAACGGTGGAGTGTTGGATAGTCGTGATTCGAGTCTCGGAATCACGTTCAATACGTCAGAGGGGGGCCACAGACTTCCCCTCGTGCGAGACGAACACGTGCCCGACAGTCGGTCAGGAGAGTGGCTTGAGTTATTCGAAGTTTACGGAGCGAGAGGTTCCAGAACGGAAACCGATGCGAGCTTTCGAGGTCGATCTGAAAATTTCAAGAGAGAAATCCAGGAAAATCAAAGGATACAGGAATGCGGAGACACGACCCCATAGCCACTGTACCTCGAGGAAGACATTCTGGATTCCTAAAGCAGCCGGTATCCTCTCTCCGTTATTTATCGCCGGAGCGCCGCAATACGGCGAGCAGCCATAGTGCGAACGAAAAGTTTCATAAAAAATTAAACGATCCGCAAGGGAAGATTTACGGAACGAACGCCTGTGTCACAGGGTGGCCCCCGTAATAACAGTGTCGCCTTCGACAGGCTGGACGTCGAGCTCAAAAATGCCTAACCTCTAAACTCGTATCCTGTAAGAGCGTTGTTCCTCCTGGTATCTATCGAGGTAATGCCACTGCCAGCGGCAACGACGCTGCGGCCGAGTCATGAAATTTTATAGAATCACCGCAGGGAGCTCGCACACCGTAAACGTAACGCATTCGCACGTTTTCAAAACTCATATCCAGCCGCCTCACCAGCCACGTACAACAGTGTCAATGACGTCACGCTATAGTTATACATACAGCCCTTGTTTCCGCTCCGCGAATATTAACGCACACACCCTTTTATACTATCAACCTCGTTTCCTGCTATTTGAACGTTCACGGAATCCGCCAACCATGGGGTTATATAATATGTATAGGTTACACCTAGAAAGGCTTCACGAGGGTCGGGGCTACGAATGACGAATACCGAAATGAAATTTTACAATTTCCTACCTAACCTACGAAAACAGGCATTGCTTAAAGCAAAAGAAAAATGTTCGTCACAAATATACAGTACACGTGACTTTAATTTACCTACAATTAATAGATCTTCCAGTAATTTCCAAGATTTGGACAAAACGGACGAAGCTCGCTTAACCGGGAGGTCCGCAAATGAGACGTAACTAATTAAAAGTAATCTTACCTAATTTCACGGTGGGCACTGGAGTGGTACTGGCAGCGTACGCGACCTCGGTACTTAGTCCCAGAAGGAGCAGGACACTCCACATGTTTCTTGGCTCTATATTAGTTTCACCAATGTGTCCTTTTTCTCGTCCTTCGGCGTTTTGTTTTTCTTTATTCCTAATAAAAATTCACCAAACGTAAATGAGTCATCCAGAGGAATTTATGTCCTTTGAATAACGTACGGGCAGTCTCCACGTTACCTCCTGCACTACTGCAAACTCTGTCATATCTTTCCTCGAGGTCTTCGGAGCACTGAAACTCTCGTGCCCTTCCTGTCGAGGTCGACAGGAAAAGAGGCCTTATCTATTTATAAGGACTCAACGAGTGATTTATCGTTCCGTCAACAAACTCGATTTAGTTGCACGCGTCTCGAACCTTCTGGAAGCACAGCACAACATCGCACCAGATGCACTTAACCTCACGTTGCCCAATAACGTTTTATCCGCGTCGATCTGACCAAATCGTTAATCGATCGACGTCTTGTGTGGAGTGCGTATACCGATCATATCCAGACAGAAAAAATCACTCTATCCACTGTATACACATTCGTCCATATCTTGTTCTACCGACAGTTTCACTTTTTCTAAGTCTTCCAGACGCGCACTGTCCTCGCGTAAGATTTGCCAGCCGCTAGTTAGTTCCAGAGCACGAAGATGGCGGCGAGTTACTGGGACTCGAACGAGGAGGGAAAATATGAATTACCGATAGAGGATCTTACTGACCCTGACCTCACGATATGCTGCTATTTGACGTCCTAATGAATCGAATAACTCCTTTGGCAGATACTGCAATATCATAATGCAGGCTTTTCGTTCGATTTCCCTTTCTAATTTTTGGGGGCGTATTAACGGCTCGCCACGTCCACACGGTGACGGTACGATATGTTTTGCCTTTAATTAAACTTTAATTAAACCTTCTCTTCCCACTCTCTCAAATTCATTTTCCTCCCTTTTTTCTCTGATCTTCTTTTCGCCCTCTTTTTATTTTCGTTTGTTTGTTTACCCTACGTTTATTACAGTTCAGAATCGGAAGCTGAGATGAAAACTTAGCTTTTTCCTTTCCTTCCTTTACTCTCCTCTCTCTCAAGTCCTTTATCACCCTTTTTCTTGATTTTTATTTATCTCCTTCAGGACCTGCAAACTGTTGTAACTTCTTTCTTTTACGGAACCATAAAACACACTCTGTCACTTATCATCACACCGACACTGCGTTTTTCTTAACACAACGTTGTACTAGACACGGTCACTAATAATTCACAAGATCTTTGATCCATTACGAATCCTGATCAGCTGGTACCTTAGGATTTGCACCGTAGAGCCTTTCGAGTTACTACACTGTTATCAGCCACCTCGGAATCTATTTGTTTTTCATCTGTTATTCATTCATTATTCCTATAGGATTCTCTGTTTGCGTTTCCCTGCTTCCGTCTCATTCGTATTCATTCCCCTTTAACCACCACCACCTAGGAGCAACCAGTACCTGGAGACACCCATTATAGTTTTCAATTAACTTGCCTGATGTCCCATGGATCAGTGAAAATACCATGTGAACCTTTCAGTACACTTGGGAACCTGACACTTGTCCCATGCCAAGTTGAGAAGGTCAACTCCTGCAAAACTTTCCTATAAGTTACACGTCACTCCTCTGCGATTTCCAATTCGGATCAGTTAAAAACTTCCAACGATCAGCCTCATGCCTGCCACGTGCCCATAACGCGTCACAATCGTATATATATATATATATATTTTTTTATTCAAAAATCGAAATGACGTAATTCTGAGAAAAAGAGGCTCAGAATACTCGCCAGAGATTCAAATAATTCTCATGGCACTTTTAGCAATGATTTATACTTGAGGGATTCAGTGATTCCTGCACGAGCGTCCACCCGATCTGGTGCGTCCCGACGCGCCGCGTCTACGTGATCTTCGGCCGACGGCGAACGGCACACTGACGGAAAGATAATCAAACGGCGCCGCGACGAACGCGCACCCTGTAACCCTGCTAGGCCACCGGCTGCTGGTGGAGCCAGAGGGTTGTGTGTTGGCACGAGAGGAAGCTAGGTGTTTGTCCTACGTAAGGGCGCATACTCTCAAGTGATTTCGGTGAAGAGGCTGGGGGGGTAGTGGGGGTGCACGCACTACCACCACCCACTGCCACGTACAAAATTCCTACTCATCGACCCTAGACGAGAGAATTTCACGCTAATCGCGTGGCAAATATCGTTCGCTTGACTTTCACAATGTCAAGGTGGAGTTCCACGAAGGGGCCGTCCACAATATCACCGAATGAATAGACGTAGGAAGGTCCGGTAGACACTGGAGGATCAGTGAATAACGAGAATAAACTATCAATCTATTGTTCTAACAGCTACTTTTTCGTGTTTTTCCTTGTGGTAAACTAAGGAAACAACCACTAGCAAAGATGCCTCGAGGGGCCGGTTACCGTCTCGCCGTCTTCTCAAACAACTAACCAAGTGTGCGGGATAACTTTCCTACACTTGGCAGGGGTAGTTTTGCCTATCGATGAAAGTTATAATACACGTAACACGGTTGGGGGATAATTGTAACTCGGTAAGGATAGGTTACGGGCGCGGCAACCCTCACCATTTCCCACGGGTAATGATTACGTTGCTCCAGATCTCGCGGCGTTAAACGCCGCGACGCTTTGAAACCGGCTGCATATTTATTATTGAGAGATCCTCGCTAAAGATTAACCCTGCCTCGATTAGCTCGCAGCTTAGAGCTGACCTCTGCCGCAGTACACAACTGTTTCTCGGTAAGAGTCTCCCCCCTCCGCCCGCCATGCTTTACGCAGAGTCCTCACTCACGCGACGCTACACTCTTTGCCCGATTTTCATGAAGGGTCCAAGTTCCAATGGGGCTGCGTGCAAACAAGTCCGGGACTTGTCATTCTGATCCTTCTCGACACTCGTCACGATCAATCTCACTGGCGATAACGGGCGAGATTGATATGCGGATAGAAAAGTGTCTACGGCAATTCCGGATGTGATATTTCTGTGTTACCGCGCGTTATCAGCTCTTACACCCCCGTCGGCAGACAGAGGGTGAAAAATATCATCGCATCGTGAGGATCGTGAGTTACTGTTATTCCGCTTTTTTTAACTGCTGCATTTCGCTCTATGCAAACGTAATTGATGACTTACCGACTTGAATTGCATGTAAGACGATATCGCTATTCTTCTAAGCTCTTGATTAGTTGCACAATTATTTCTTTGTTTCACTTTCAAACGTTTTCTAATGCGCGCAGAAGTTCTAAATTAAGTTTGCAATGTCGGAAACATTATTTTATAACCTTATAAGAATAAGACTGCATGCCAGACACGAAAACATTAGTCAGGACTCGAACCACATTTCGTTCGAACGCCTGCAGACAAGACTCTTTCCTGCCTGTTAGTTCCGAGCGGGGACCGCAGAGGTCGGTAGTTGTTAGGGACGGTTGAACTTCTGCAGTATCAACCAGCTGCTGGACGCCGTTGCCTTGTTCGAGAAAATAAAAGTCAAGAGGATTGCATAATAAAAGGACACGAACCAGCGTTAAAGCAAAGCTGAACGAGTTCAGGAAAGGTAATTAAAAATTATAAAACTGTTTATTTCATTATGTACATCGAGTTACTAAAAAGCGAGCTGTTACCCGGGAAATATCAGGAAGAGACGTTCTACCAACTTGTAAAGTATTTAATGTAGAAAATTGAGTATCTCCGCCAAGATATCTTCTCAACTGTAAACTCTCGTTATTCGAACTACTCGAGGATGTCCTCGCAGTTACTGTCGTTCTTTCTTCCAACGAACAAGAGTACCACGGTAAAAACAATAAACACTCCTCACGAGGTAATCTTAGAAGGTACTTCGAAGCAGGTTACGATATCGTTCTTCTCCGTGAGTGCGTAGTACACGACAAGGGACACCTGCAACAAGAATAATCGTTATCGACTACTGAGAAATCCTAGAAATTTCCTTCGTCATTGCCTTAAAGGTACGCGAAACAAGTTTTACAAATAATACAGTGAAAACCGTTTCTTCTCGATTTTCTCGTTAGCTCTCAATTTTCTGCCAATCTCGCCTTTGCTTTACTGCCATTGTCAGTTGAAATCGATTAAATGCTCGGTGGAAGCTCTTACTGGAAAAATAATAATGAATGTGGCAACAGTGTGGGAATGTGGAGACAGTGAGAAAGAAAGAGACATCGATAGTAAGGACTATGCGAATTCTCAATCACTCGATTTGTTGACTTTCTGATAAGCACAAAAGTTCACGTCCCATTCATAATAGAGAGAGAGCAAAGAATGATAAAGTAATAGATCGAATTGGCAGTACATTTTCGCTGGGAGCTTCGATTGACTTTTATCTCGAACCTATCGAGCCGCGAATGAATATTTTATACCCAATAATTAGATCGAACGCGTACCTCTCCAATCAGGATGAAACAAGTGACAAGCTTAATATAAAATGGCGTTAAAAGGAAAAACAAAACTAAGACGATGATTCGTTACTGCTGATGATAAACAAGGAAAACTACAGAGACGTCGTTGACGTTTCGAATCGACCTGTACGCACGAGGCAGCACACCTTAAACTTTCAGGTCCCATAATTGATTAACAATTATTTACCGGGATATCGGTAAACGTTAAAACATTTTGTATTTATTAAAACTGGACTTGCTCTTCAGTAAATTCGTACCTTAGGATAAAGTTCCAGAATAGGGAACTCGTTCTTGTATATATATGGTGTCCCCTTTTTCAGGGGGCAACTGCTTTTACTTCCGTCGGCGTTGAAGATATTCTGGCAAGCGTTGGCCCCATCGACACCTACAAACGGAAGTGGAATTCCGAGGATGGTGGCGTGAACGGAAGTGGTCAGAGTCTGCACGTCCCTGTTGGGTACGAATTTTTGCTCGATGCCGATCTTAGTCCTCTTCTTGAGCTTGCACGGGGGACTGTTGCAGCCGGTTATCTGGACCTGATTAGGATCTTCGTAGAGTTTACCTGAAAATGTAAGAAAAAATAATTATAGATATCAAAATCTTTATTATCGTTCTTCTTTATCTTTTTCAGGCTCTTTCACCTCGACCAGATTCCTATAGAGCAGAGCACAGAGCAATACAATTACGTTTGAGCTTTAAAAAAATGGACTCCAGAGGTACCCTCATGGAAAATTGAAAATACCGCAGGTAATCCTCTGAGAGATTTCCACGAGAAATTATAGTAACCTTTAGTCTTGTTTCAGGATAACTGATACGATAAGGAAAGCTCAATGAAAAGTTAAAAGAGATAACTGAATTGACTCTTAAGACATAAACTCGATAATGCCACGTCAATGGATTATATCATCTCTAACGAATATTGGAGTATTTATGGCGTCCCGTGACGTGGCTGAAATGTCGGAATAGCGATCGCCACGGGATCGGCATCCATTTTCAGTACGCTCGGAAAATGGCGCCGTAAAAGCCGCAAAGCCACCGGGAATAAGACACTTTACGGTGGCGCGGAACGCTGATGGCACAACTCGTGCTCCGACTCGATTGCAATTTGCAATATTGCGAATAAGGGCCCGAGCACAGTGCACAGCCACATATCCGTCCGAGAATATTTGCCTACCACGCTTACGAAATAGCTAGCACAAGATTAGCCTTCTGCAAATTTCATAAATTTATTATTTGCATAGGAGAAAACTGTGTGAAACGGTATAACGAATAGCGTGGCAAAATGTGTGCAGTGGAAGACATCTTTTCCTTGACTGTTGCAATAATATATAAAAAATATTAAACGTCAGTAAACATATAATGAAATGCCAAGATAATTTAAAAACAGGAAAAAAATCAATTATTTGATAATTATAACTCACAAGAATCCTAGAAATGAGGACTTCATCTGAATTAATATAACAAATTAATGCTAAGCGAATAATAAAATCAGGAAAATTAACATTCATGCAATGAAATTGAAGCAAATGTTATTTCAAGAGAAAAAACAGAACAACCAATTAAACTTGGCAACATTGACGTAAGTTATTTTACGACTTTTGCATTCTCAGACGATAATGACAGTTTTGCATTTCGAACGACATCAAAATATGCAATTTACCCGTTTTCATGATTTGCTATCAGTCCCTTTATCTCCACGAGTTGTAACGATTACCGCAGTTTAAGAAAATCATTGAATCGCACCAAGTAAAGAATCCAATGATCCATCGACTTGGTTACTTTGTCAAAAAAAAGCTTCCACAATCTACCACATAGAATGCGACAACCGAGCTGAGAACTGAACGAAAGAAAAAGAGCAAAACGAAATAAAAAAGAAAAACAAATAAGTAATAAACTCTCGTTTCAGAGTGAAGAAAAACCGGTCTTCGCTCGAACATTTATCGCCGACCAGACAATCTTCTCATTCAACGTGAACTTATCTCACGTGCAAATATCGATGCGTACGTGGAACCTCTCCTCGACGGCAGTGCCACAGAAATCTTGATTTCCACGTGAATTACAATTTTTCACATCAAATAGTTCAGACTTCACGAGGTAATATTTGTAGAAATAGAAAAAAAAGATGTCACTTTACATAAATGTATATGCATATATGTAAACACGTATGTGCCATAGGTGCAAACTGTGTAACGACAAACGCTTGAACGCGAATACCGCAAATCTTGCCAATACTGTGAATACCGTGTATTGGATGCGGCGGCAGACAAGCTAAACGCGAATATCAACGGGAGCGATTTTGCAAATTGACCAGTGAGATTTACCGTTCGGTCAGGATCCATGAGTGTCGCGAATAAATCTGCCATTAACGAGAAGGAAGGGGAGGAGCGCCGAACGAGTGCGCAACCAAGGACGGATATCGAAAAGGGACGAACGCAACCGCGAATCGTGTTTAATCGCGAGCAACGCAATCGTAAACAATCATTTCCCGAACGACAAACAAAAGGCCGCACCAGCACGAATGCGACATACTATTGACCAAAATGTCGCAACACGACTGTCGCTCAAGCGTATTGTCATCGATAAGCATAAAACTTCTCCAACAGAATTTCTTCGCGTGCATATACACGTATATGTTGAATTCATTAAATCTTCAAGTTTGCACGAATAAAATTTTTCTTTTTTCAGCCTCGAAGTACATGCATCAGAAAACTGGGCACCTACTTTGGCTGTCATTGGTCGCGATACCAGTTTGCGTGTAATGAACTTTGACCTCGACTCTGATGTTCTTTGTAAGTTTATCATTGGGAGATCGGCTGTCGCACTTTGGAAATTCCTTTTATCCCAAGCTCACTTAAACCCCGTGATGCTATTCTACAGAGATAAGTACCATACAAATATGTATATATTTATTATATGTATATGTATATGTATATATATATATATACACTGATATATAAACTGCTATTCTTGTAACAGGTTTCCATGAAAGTGGAGAGTAGATCTCTCTACGTTGAAACGACTGGCGCAGCAGCGTCTCGATCTCCTTGGCGTGAGTTTACTTCTATGAGCACGTTACGGTATGGCTCACTGATAATATTTCTCAGCTCAAGGCTCATATGGATAATTCATACGGAGGCCAACGACTATTTCTCTTGCGAGGACACAAAAAAAAGGTTGGATAATGTCAAATAGTACTGTAGAGGTTGGATCTCTTTAAACTCTAAAAACACGCTACGCCTGCGGGCACGTATAACGATTACATTTAAATACGGATGCACGATTTGTAAATACTCGAGTCAAAGGATTTTTATTAAAAGTTGACTTGTCCATGAAATCCTTATGGCAATGATAAATTTTCACGTTTCAGGTTAATATCCCACTTTTCTGATACATCATAGAATCTCCAATGAACTACAAGACCATTTTAAACTTATGATTTGTCTACGAACCGTTTCCACAGTGGTTCACCTGGGTCGCAGCAGCCAGTACGAGGAGCGTCGCAAGTACCAGGAACGTTTCTCTCAGCATCTTGGTGAAAGTGTTTTCTGAACTGCCGTGATAATGAAAGGAGCAGCTACTAGGAGGGTCTAATCAGGCCCAGGTCTGACTCTCGACTGTTCGCGACTGGCCACGACTGCGGTCTGACCGTACTGGACAGTGAAACGGCTGTCGCTGCTGCTATGGGGCGAACTTTAAATAGACACCAACTCAGAAGCATCTATATACAGAGAACAGTCGCTGCGATTGCGACTGTGACCGTGATTCCTGCTGGAGAACAAGGAAAGCAGAGGAGGAGCTAACCACACTGTTTCAATGTATGGTCCCAATAGTCTCATTGTCAGTCGGCATCAAAAAAAGATCTGTCTGTAGAGACACGACCTTTGCACCAACCTGGAGCCAGTCATTCATCTGAGAAAATATTGGTATAGGCTCCAGAGTCTCTTTAGTTTTCATGGTCATCCAGAGTCAAGAAAACATTGCTCTTGCCCTCTGACTACCTATTTGCTTGGGTCGTTCAAGTGTGTAAATATGAAATATACGTATGTATACAATTAATTAAAGAATTTTTAATAATCTCCATACACTATACCATAATAATGACCATAAATGACGAAATAATGACGTAAAATACACCGTAACCATAATAATAGTCCTCGTGTTCTTGTAGGACCATCTACCGATTGCCCTTTGAACTTCAACGTCTTTAATGACGCAGGTGGACACGTGGAACGTACCTTCCAGCACGAATCTCTTGGCGCCATTGAGAAGAATAATAACGTCATTCCGGGTTATTTCACTCATGGGCCTCCACGTCTGTCAATGATTTTTATAGACATCGATTATGCTTCCCTGGAAAGATGGAGCATTTGCGGAAAAGTCATTTCCCGTGAAAATTTTTAATAAACCTCAACCGCGCGATACACTTGTTGCTGCTGTTGCGTGAAAGCAAAAACATACGAGTCATCGAATTCTAGGGGATGTATAATTAGTCCTCTCTAATTGTCTCACGGAACAGCATCGTGACGCTTGACGGGTCCTGTGGTAATTATCGAGATAATTAACGGAGTCGCCAGCCGTAATAATAGAAAGGGACACTGTAGTTGTCAAGATTACGAGAAAATTGTAGCTGAAGAGAAATAATAGAATTTGAAATTGATAATCATTCAAAGAAAATAATAGTTAAGGATTTCTATTAAATTTTCAACGAATACACCAACGGGTTGCTTATAATGACAAATGTCCAAATGACAGACGTCAAAGTTATTATTTAGTAAACTGTGATTTTACCTACACGATCTATTCTCTATATTGTTACCATATTCGCGATAGAGTTCCTTGAATGAAATAACACATGGACTAAACAGAAAGGAAATGACTAATGGTGCAAGCAATAAGTCACATGACGTTACAGCGACTAAAGGCGTACTCGCAATGTACAAAAAACAATCATTAGAACCACACGAGAAACGAAATAAGCATGATTTATCGTTGCCGCGTGTCACTGTAAAAAGCTTAGGAATCGGATGGAAATTTCCACGTGCCTTTTACAAAGTAGCCTAATGGCAGAGAGAGACAAGGATAACTGAACAGCAAGAAATCCCAGAGATACAAGATTACCAGCGAGTAGAAAACTCGAAATTTATGGTCACGAAAAATATATGTATATAGTATCTAGTAAAAAAGACTTTATTTATATACCGTACAACTACTGTATCTGCGGATTCCGATTATATCTTTTCCATCAAGCATATCAATATTGCACGGACGAAAAGTAGATACGCCCGTCCTAGTTCGACGACCTCTTAACACGATCGTAAACATTCTCCTAGAGTTTTCGTTTAGTAGCCAACGGCATTTCTCATGGAAACTTTGTCAAACCGAAAGGAAGAAAATACTGCAGGTCTGTATGTATATGAATGACAGAAATGATAAGAATAATAATAAGCGAGTTGTATACGGGAGGTATGAAACATGACGTCTCACCGCTATCAAGTGTTTCTAATCCTGTACTGAAAAACCTCAAGGCGACTTTTCAGTTGGAATTCTCCGTGAAAAATCTGCAATGGGTAACTTTGGCAATGGTCGCCGAAGCAGGCGGAGTCACTAGCGTCATTGGGAGGCACGTGCGAGACATTCATAATTATTTCCAGGTAGAAAATATTGTAGAACGTAATGATGATATCGTAAGGAATATCTGAACTTTTTCCTTTCAAACTGCGCAGATAAACAGGAACGACACTTCTTTTTCCTCTGGTAGTATTCCATAATATTTTTGCCGGCAATAGATGCCCATTCGGAACTGAAAGTCCTCCGGAAATATCGAGCTACAAGGCACGTTTGTCGATTTGCTTCGATTTGCTTCGATTTGATACAGAATAAGTCGCGTCATCGCGTCATCGCCTCAATGGCAATCACTGAAAGTTCTTCCTGCTTTTGGCTGTAGCTATATATGTATATACTTTATGTTATGTACAGGGTACTACTGCTGTCATTTGTACGTGTTTAGCATGCACGTGTCGAATACAGGAACTGTGGATGAGTTACTGGTAGATATATAAGGATGATTACTGTATGTGGCATCAGGAAGAAATGCAATCTGATGAAACAATGAACGATTAAAAATAAAAGTAGGAACACCTAGGTAGACGGATATTGATTGGACGATATAACGGGTGGGATTCAATTTATTGCACAATTAAAGAAATTTGGAAAAAATGTCTACGGTGATGACGATGTTTAAGAAAAATTAATAATTATTATTTTTATTATTTTTCAGAAATTCTATAATCATATCTTGTTTTACTTGTTTACGTATCGTTTCGAACTGCTTCTGGATGTTCTGAATTACAGACCGTCTTGATGAAATCGCAGCCTGAAATTTTGGGGCGAACCGGTTCGATCCAGGCACAAACGAATTATTTAATTTATCGATGACTCTTACAGAATTTTTTGTATGAAGTTTTGGTCGATTTATCTTGAAGCAAGTCTACAGCTGGCAATTATAATTTATTCACTACCAATATATGGTAGAGTAAATTATTCAACTGACACCTGTCTCCCCTGTTCCGATACTCAGGACTGTTTACGTATTCTATAAAAAATTGAAATTACAAATTGATAAAAATCATTAATAACCATGGCGGCTAAATTGTCCAATTAATTATATCGATGGAAATTGATAACTGGCGTGTGTATAGATGATCACGATGGCAACAATATTATTAGAATCGACCAGACGATTATCAGTTTTCACTTCTGATTTCATATATTCGTCATCGCCATTCGTTAGGCTTGTCGATCTTCAATGATACCAGTTGGGTCGATACAGATGTGAATTTCAAATGTGTTTGCTGATCGTCTGAGGAAAATTACACAATTTTATTATTTCTATAGATACCAACTACCAATGTTAAGCGTCACGAAACTGGTGCTCAGCAGTAGAGTTGCTTTGTGAATAAAATTTTGTGAGTAAAAAATTTTCAAAATTTACTGATCTATTCTTTCCGAAATTTTAATGTATCACGCCCTGCGTCACATTAGACTTACGACTATCGTCTCGTAAGATGTAATTAAATATTAAATCTAATCGTACCAATCTGTCAGATGATTCCATCGCGTGCGTGATTGATTTTCTATCAGTATTTTCATCGAACTGCCCAAGAATTACTTTCAACGACATTCGTCGAGCCGCTACGGCCATTTTGTACTGTGACTGATTTTAATTAAACATTTGCGACATTTATATACGTAGGTAAAAAGTATGTTTGCATGATCAATTATCAAATATTTCAACACTGTGTATACGTTACCTCTGTGTATCGATTCGATTAGTAGATTACATGAGAACCACTGATCCTTCTTGATATAAGTCACAACGTATTTCATCTGGTAGGAGTTTTCGTTCGTCACTTTAAATTTGCTAGCGAGACTCCATAGTGACATCCGGCATGAGACTCCACGTCTTTGTTTTGTTTTTATTCGTTCCTCTGAGTAGTGCAACTACGGTGCCCTTTGAGGATTGCGGTGAGTGGGTAGTCCAATTTTTTAAGATAACGAGTTTGCTTTTTGCTATTAAACAAAAAAATAACAGCTTATATCTCGTCGAGTTTTCCATGGCGTATAAATCGAGCCTGTTCTGCATAACAGTTATGAAAAATAATAATAAATCCCTCATGAATATTTGTTCAGACCAAACTTTATCCGTTAATAAATAAAACAGATTTCGTGACTGAAGACGTTTGAAATTTTATTTTTCCTAAAATACTACAGTGATGTTATGATGTAAAAACAGGAATGATAAATATTGCTGCAATTGGAGTTACTGTTTAATATTTTCAATATTAAATATAAAATAATACTGTGGTATACCAGATCATTTTAACTGAATAAACTCACCAGCCTCAAATTAGCTCACTCATTTGGTAAAGCCATGTCCCATTCCGTGACAGTGCGTTTGGGCTGAATAACCAGTTGTAGCTATTCCGATAAAGATATTGTGACAAGCAAGTTTGATAGGTAATAGTCTTCAGCATTTTCAATCACAATATTTTTTGTCGTACTAATTTTTTGAAGTTTTGACCAAGCTCAGTTTTAAATAAGAGATCAACTATATTGAAAATTACAATATTTCAGTGCAGTAATATTGTGGTATGGCGGCTACGTACAGATTTGACTTGTCAACAGTTGCGCCATCTACTCGGTTAACCACGGTCGTGCGACTAGACATTCTCTCGCGTGCAGTTATTGACTGAATAGACTTGAATAATTTTCGAAATCCCAGAAATCGATCAATTTTCGATTGCTATTAATGTGACATATTACGTCATTTATATGTTCAAACGTTAAAAGACTAGGTACCACAGCTGATTGAAGAAATTGGTGGCGTTCCGAAAGTTGTCAACCTTTACCGAGCAGCGCCGATGGTGGCATTTTCCAGAACTAGACTTCATAAGCATTATGAGAAAAAATGTCAGCCGGTGGTTGACAAGAAAAGATTTCAGTATTCATTTGACATTTGAATGAAAAATCTTTTTGAAGAAAAGTATGAGAAAAAGTTTTACAGTGCTACCACTGAAAAGATTAAACTGTCAGATAGTCCTGTTGCTGTTGTTACTGTTGCTAGTTGAATTACCACGTTTTAATTATGCCGGTACAATACTCGCAACTCCATCCTTTTCTTTTCCGTATATTCGCTGTGTGTTTGCGCTTACGAAAATATATTTCCGTAAGCGCAAACGGGACCAAGCAGATAAAAAAAGATAGAAAGAGATAAAAAAAGAACAAACGAAAGAGAAATGCTATATACAGGAGAGAGAAAGGTGACGGAAGCCGATGATACCGGGTCGCATTAATTTCCGGTACTTTGTTCACTTGTTCATGGAAATCCGTTTCATTTCCGTTCTATTTCCGAAACGATTTGGGAACCGTAAAAAAAATAAAGAAATCAAAATAAACAGACTTCTCAAAAATAGTATGAAAAAATTACCAAAGATCAAATCAGAACATGTATAGAGTTATTCAGTAGAAACGCACCACCTGAACATGATTCTATCATAGAAATCAAATGGACGGGCAAAAAGTTGGTGCGTTTCTACTGAATAACCCTTTATGTTTTCATATGTGGTCCTCGTGTGTACGCCAATCGTGATCTCAAAATCTCAACAATCATCGCGTCAATGCTATTAAAAACAATGGACTCGAAGTACCAACTCAATCGGTAATACGATTTCGACGAAATCAACGCATCATCGATTGGAACGATAAACGTATTAGGAAATTCTCGAATGGTATCACTGTTTTGCAAAAGCTATACACGAATTAGCTGTACGCTCGTTGTCACAAAAATCCAAAATCCAAAAAGGTTGAACAATTCAAAAACGCATTGGTCAGACACAAAAATCATTAATGCTACGCGTATCTCGTGACATTTCATAATTCATGTTCTAACTCATTCCTCCCCTATTAAAAAAAAAAAAAAATCCAAAATACTTTTATTTTTTTTTATCAATTTCAGGATCGCATTATTATATCGAGAGCGTCGAAATTTCTGGGTGCAATAATTATCCCTGCATATTAACAATTGGTTCTACTTACAATTTCACACTGGCCATGCAAGCATGTGAGTATCATTCTGATCATGCGCACAATCGTGCACATGCAACAAGCTGTCGATTAAGATGATAAATGTTTGGTCCACAGCAGATGATCATATCAATCTGAGGTCTCTCAACGAAGAAGTATATTTTAAAGTGAATCATGTGCGGAAGCCCGCTTTCGTGACCTCTGATCCCTGTTTGGACAATGGGAACATGTACAGCACTGGAAACACTTGCGCGCCACAGAGCGGCCAGACCGTATACTACAAAGCTGAACTCGCTGTGAACGCGCTGCCACCTGTAATGTCATTCGTATATCGTAACATAACCATAGCGCAGTTACGTTATGCCAATTTAGATAGTTATTGTTTTTGTTCACCTTGTTTCATTTTCAATCCAGCTACCAGCCGTGCTATACTGGACATTGAAGAATTCCCAGGAGATTCTAGTGTGTTACAAAGTCACCGTCATACTTCAGTCGTAAATGGATTTGATTATAAGGACGCCGAAATCGAAGTTCAACGAGATGCTTGCTAATAATTAAGGAATATAAAATTCTAACAAGTGACGTGAATAAATATCTATAATCGTGCATCTATATGTAATATACAGATACAAAACTCTGTTCTAAGTGTTTATATGGAATTGATAATAATAATTGGCGAAACTACCTGGATCTTTTTTTCTTGTCCTATAGGAGATGTTTAATTTAATGCCGTTGGAATACTTCCTTCCGCTATAGCGAGAAGCTCGAGATTCGCCGGTATCAAAAAGACTTGTGCTGAGATAAGCGAATTCAATTGAATTGCCACTTGTGGTAATTAAACGATTCATTGTTATTAGGCTGTTTCGCAATTGGTTGTAACTGCACGCGTTTCTCGCGGCGAATGCTAATCGACGAATCGGGCACATTCTGATTAACCTGACAGGTGACATTCAGCCTTCAAATTAATCAGTCATAATTTGGTGGAATAAAATTAGCGGCGCTTCGTATGATTTTGGAAAATCGCTCAAACTCCGTTCGCCTGTCGATGCTTTAAAATTAGCTCTAAAAGGTAAAAATTTGTTTATAATACGTAAAAACTTACTTCTAAAATTCTATTGATAATTAAGTCATTGCTTCGCTGTTATTATAAAAACATACAATTTTAATGTTAAATTTTCATTAAACATTCTGTAGAATTTTCGTGAAGTGGCTATTGCTCAAATAAACGCAGTAACAGATATTTATCTATATTTTTATTGATCCTCGTGATGTTTTAGTTATAAGAATATGATCCGACACAATAATGTGTTGCTGTGATGGATTAGAATGGGTTTTAATTTTTCGTGTAAAGATTTTCTGTGTACAGTTATTAACTGGTTATACACAAATATTAACACACTGTTGACCGGTCACGAGTTAACTTATTTTTGCACTTGCATTGGCTATTTCACTTCCACATTCAATTACGAAATATGATATACAAAAATTACCTTTATTGGTGCAGAACTTTCCATGCCCAGTTGCTGCTGTTACAGTTGACACCCACTACATACAGAAATGTTGCCTACTCATTTATCTTTCGTCAATACTGTGACAGATTGCAACGTCAAAGTATGTGGAACAGATGGCTGGAAATCAATGCCAACGGAAATACCGTTCAATGTTAAAGCAGAATTACCCATGCAATGATAAAGCTGATGACTGATGATAAGCAGACCAGACATTGTTTCGAATTTGTGTCAAAAACAAAAACGTAGTTACCTGTGCAAGGTAAAGTAGATTTCTTTCTTACGGACTGCTAATAAAAGAGAAGCGAGAATCAACAAGAGGTATGAACACATTTCGTGATTCAAATCAGAGCAAAAGAGACCCACTACAAAGTTTAAATCAGAGAGTTATCAATCATAATCAATCTGCTGATAAGACTTCGAGTGGAACTCGTTATCTTTATTTTCTCTCAAGTCCCCCCTATGTGAGAATCATCTAATAGTCGCTTGTTAAGGAATTACGGACATCTCTTATCTTGATTATCACCCGGTAAGTTTATTAAATTAGAGGAAAGTTATAAACAAGAATAATTATTAGAACGGCCAAGGATTGGTCACATCAGTGATTTAAAAATTTAGCTTTATTATCAATAGAATAAAATTTATTTCTAATTTCATAAACTATAAAAAAATTAGAGTTGGGAAATCATTTCGTACGATATATATAATATTATTTTAAATAATTTCTTTTATGTTATGAATTTACATAACCAGATACTTGAATTTTAATTGCTGTCACTGATATCGCAGTAACTTTGTGTTTTAATGGTGTCTTCAAGTAAAAATTCATGTCAAAAATAAACTGGACGACGTCCCGACGTTTTTTAAATTTTTTGATTGACAATTATTCACCACTCTAGTCTGTAGAAACCATTGTTGAACGCTTGAACATAAGAGTGTTTGGTATTGCTTAGCCACACTGGTATTTCGGATTTACAATAAGACGCTAAAGACATCATTTGTGGAGACACAAAGGTGTTGATTGTTGATTCCATTTAATTAAATAAGTAACGTTTACACAGTATAAAATATAATTATTTTTTTTGCATATCCCGTGGAATTGTGAAAAAAAATACTGAACTTGTCGTTGTTCAAAAAATCGGATTTGAAGCGAATGAAAATAATTAATTAAAATGAGTAAGATTTGTGTATTCGGAATTTCTTATTAAATCTTATAATCATGTGCTTATTGGTTATAATTGGTAATATTGGTGGTAATATTGGTTTCGCAATTGAATTTTAAAAAATTCCTTCCTTACAGCTATTGGCTCATCGAAATAATCAAATATTACTATCAGATCGATCAGCATGAAACAATTATTAAAATCTTGGAGATGCAGGTGTTCACCGATCACCTTGAAAACTTATCATAGGTGAAGCAGGTGTCCGATTAGATACTCTGCCGTATATATACAGCAGGTTTCCCTAAACTAAATCACATTACCTTGTCACCAAAGTAAGAAGCAAACATTGGAACAGTAGAAGACACAATGGCATCTCTGACTTACGGTAAATAATCATCGCTTATTTAATTAACCCACTACACCATAAACGAAAATAGACAATAATTCTTGTGAAACTTCATGTTCCAAAAATAATAATAACGGTCCAACGCACTTTCCATCTACATATACATATTACCGTTTTAACGGATATTAACTTTCGGACTAACGAGCTGACCTAACTGTCCTTATAAAAGTTTTCCTTAGGTCACCCTCGAAGAACGAAACGCAAACTGCCAAAACCCGATGAAAAAAACTCTCATCATTCGTAACCGATAAAATTATAAAAATTAATAGATCTCGTTGCACTTTCAGTCTTGGTCTTCGCAGCGTTCATCGTCGCAGCTTCCTGCCAATCAACTCCATTCAGTACGTGCAAGCAGGGTGCACCGCCATCAGATGTCAGAATAGCCGGTTGCACGAAAGCTCCCTGTTCCTTGGTACGCGGTACCAACGCAGTCGGAGAGTGGGACTTCGTTGTCTGTAAGTATTAAAAAAAAAATCGTTGAAACACGAAAGACAAAAAAAAAGTGAATTAAGCTTTGTGACTGAGTATAAAGAGAAATAAAATTTGTCAACAGCCGATGACACCGCCAAACTGACTCCTCGTGTACGTGCGACTGTCTTGGGACTGACTGTCAACTACGACATCGGTCAAGAAAACGCCTGCGACACCTTGACCAACGCCGAGTGTCCATTGGACAAAGGCGAAGAGGTCACCTACGCCCTCAGCATGCCCGTACTTGAATCCTACCCCAAGCTGTCGCTGACCATCGAGTTCGCCTTCTTGGACGAAAGCAAAAACGTGCAGACGTGCTTCAAGATCAAGGCAAAGGTCGTCGATTAAATGGTAGCTCGCAAAATAAATAAATCGACACTTCCAGGAGACTCTGCTGGAAAAGAAACGATATTCTAATGACGATTAACGATGCTTATATAATTGGCTAAATTAAATTCAAGAAAAATAAATAATCACCCTTCAACCAATACTCAGCCGATATATTCAAAGCAATTTCCTCGCAGCAATGCACTTCGTCTTCGCTACCGCGATACGATCGGGTACCCCGTCAAGTTGCCTTCGAATATTCTGGATTCCAGCCATTTTCGAACCATCCGTCATTTCTGTAATATCGACCAGAGTCTGCAGGGTAGAGTGCTCACTTCCGGTAACAGAGAATACACGGCGATAAAATACACGTACCCAGCTAGTCGGTCCTCGATTCGATGAACATGATAGGCCCAGGTGTTCTAGAAATGAAAATTGATAACCATAATAATAATAACAGACGGCAAATGGGTATCTACGATAAATTGAATGACGTGTAAAAATACTTAAATTCTGGAAAAATCTCAATAAAATCACACAAACGTACCGTACGAAAAAGACACGCGTGTCTGTGTAGTGTTAGATAAGTTGAGTATACCTATACGGTACATACACGACTATTACGCAGGAGCATTGCAGAAGATCAAAAAGCAAAATGGCGAAGGTGTTTGAGGAAAATTGAAAATGGAAGCCAGCACGAAGCTTTGTGGAATTCATGGGAATTAAATTAAGAGATCTCTTTCCGCGTCAGCGACGTTCCAGCCCAGTGAGAGAGAAGAGGTTTGCAGGTTAGGATACTGAAAAAGTTCCTTCAATAGGATTTAGGTTGCTAGGCTGCTAGGTATACGTAGGTGGTAAGGTGGGTTAAGAGAGATTTATAATAGTGGCGTGTACCGTCGGTAAGGTAGATAGGTAGGTAGCGAAGTGAGGTGGGTGGTGGGTAGATCGGGACCTAAGCGAATTTCGGGGTTCCAAATGGATTTAAAGATTTTCACGGTGAATTCCAGCCAGTCTCAGCCTCGTCTTTGTCGCCCTAAAGGCAAATTGAATTCCTTCCGCTTGGTGCTCCTTTGGCAATCCTCGAGTAATGGTACAGATTATCATTATAGGATGCTAAGAATTTATATAAAAGGTCCTCCACAGGATCCCGTTTAAACTCACCAGACATTGAGGGTACTCAAAAATTAGCTTTGACCATCTTCAATTTCTCAAGCTATTATAATCGATCGATCAACGGAACCTTTGACCCATGTTCAGGAATTCACTGAACCGTTGATAACCTGTAAACAGAATAGCAAAAGCCTCTGCGGACTGATATCGAAAGGTGCTACTGTGCACCGTGCCCTCTGACCTATTCTAAATCTCAAACCACCAGACCTAGCCTACCAAGGCTAACAACCTAACGTCAGATGTACAGCTTGCTATTAATTCATCCTCCAATTTTGCATCCCTTGACAATACATTTTACGGGTTGATAAGGGTTACACAGGGCAGTAGCATACATCTAGACAGGGCCTGATTCGCCCCACCTTATTTTACAACCCAAGTGATTTCAGATCAGGATCTGTTTTTATGTACCGCCATCCAGTGAATTCTGGAACATACTGGAGGCAAGAGAGACAGAGAGAGAGAGAGAGAGAAAGAGAGGGTGGTTGGCGAAAAGAAAGAAAGTATTGCACAAAGCCTTTTTGAACAAAAAAAAAATAATATGTATTCGTGTGTGAACGCCTAAAGAGAGAGAGACACAAGGAGAATATGCGTGGGAAGGAAAAAGAGAGAGAAACAGCCCGCGAGGAGGTATAAGGACACAAGAGGGTAAATCCTGGAGGGTTCGGGCGTGTGCCTGACCCACATCCCCGCACATCGATCGACCAGGTCGCCTGGCTTACGGAACTTCGACTAGCGATGGCTGCGAGTTCAATTCGAGTAATATCGAATGAGTTACACTCGCACGTATACGCAATACGTGTATGATATATTATTCCTATAGCGTCGTGTGAAATTAACATGTCGAGAGAAAGAAGGAAAAAGTGTATTGAGTTTTTGAAATATAAAAATTGTATAATAACTCGATTGTCATTTAATCGATAATGAAATAACACTTGTTTATACAAATATAATAATTCATTAGAATCCTGCACAAAGAGAGACAGCAGCGACCAAACGGATTATTCCGTCGTTATTAATTTCCTCAAGGAATCCTAATCCATCATAGCTCCGAGCGTTAGATAATAATATTATACAATATTCACAAATGGGATCACTATGATAATGCATTGTCTTCGAAATTAGGAAACGTCCATCTATATATTGAAATTTGCAAATTTTAATGACAGCATAGAAGACCTTGATGGATTACGTGACAGTATATGTATATCAATACGTAGCTATTCCGGTATACATATGTATATACGTATGTAATATATGTTATAATTATACTGAAAAAGCAATAATTTATTTCAAGAATTTATTTGCACGAGGAAAAATCGCAACTGACTGCTCTCCTTTACCTGCGACAAATGTTCCGGTCGAATGACGTCTGCTTTCTGAATGCACGACGCACACACGTAATCGGACAACGAATAAAAAGCTGTCGATTCTCAGGAAAGCACTGGGAGAGACGGGGTGAAGAGGGAGACTGAGAATTTGTCTGAAAGTCCACTCGTACGTGTCGCGCACATCCATATGGATGAGAGAGGTTTGGAGAGAGAGACTAAGAGAGGAAGAGATGAGAGATAGAGAGTGAGAGAATTATACGAACCCGTTGCTTTGACATTCCTGTTCTCCGGGGAAGCCTTTTGCGTATAATATAATATGTAACTGGCAAGCATTGGTATAACAGGAGTAAGAGAAACACGATGGATTTTCTCATTGGGAAAGAGCAGACGACTCTGTTCGATTTTACGAAGTGCTGCCATAGCCGAAGGCAAACCAGACGGATTTAACGGTACTCATGCTGTACCACGTGCTGTCACTTTGATTTTCAGAACTTGGAAAATGCATGGGACTTGGGAAGACGCGTTTCTGCCAGACATCGGGATTACACTGAATACATTGGATGTACTGAATGCATCTTGGCTATGCACTGCATGTATCAGTATAAATGAATATTTTCATGTGGGCGGCGTAAAAGTCCGTGAGGATGATTTACCGATTGAAAAATACTTTTAGTACAGTCATTCTTATCGTGCGGGATATTCACGTTTTTCTTTTTCGGGTATTCAATGTGAATTTTTGAAGATTGCCACGTTCAGTTTTCTACGAGTGACATTGTTTATGGTGTCACTGTTATGGCGAATGTTATTAACTGTTGAGGTCAACGTCCTGTTTATTGCGTAAGTACTGAATACTGATAATTGAAGTGTTTGGCACGGACTGTTACTAGTATGAAATAATAATGGAGGTACGAATGGAATTGACATTACCACTAGAGAAATCGGACGCGTCATGAGATCCCGTCGGTAAGGTAGATTCGTGCGTCCTGAATCTACCTTACGGAACGTTATTTCAATGAGGAGCAAAGTCTTTGTTGGACAGTGAATAAATGTAGGAAGATTAGTTATCGTTATGTAATTCTGCTGTGACAAGACACAACGGTTCTGAGAAATAATAAGTGATCATAGTTACTGTACGGTACGGCGTCTTGATTCATTATAAATAAATCATATGAAGATAAATACATTATTTTTACGTCAAAGAGTGTTACATTGTCCTGTAGAATGAAGAATAAATATTTATTACTGTTGGCTACCACTTTAATGGATCTATGGAAGGTGGATCGTCGGAATTGGTTCACGTTGTATAAAAAAAAAAAAACAATATGGATTCTTGAATATCATCGCGTTAACGTAATTCAAGAGAAGCGAGGATTTAACGCTCAAGTGGTTCCAGCTAAGGTCAACAAGAGAAGAGACACTTGTAAAAGGTTAATTCACTCTGAATTAAAGAAAACCCCTCCTAGATCTTTTTGGGTCGAAGTTACTATTAACTGCTGTAGTAGACCGACCCGAGTAGTATTTACTACTCCATCTCACAAGGGTTCGTGTACGTACATATATATACACTGCACAGCACACCTTAATAAACGGGTGGGGCCTCAATGCCTCATGCCGTCTTGAATAGAAGAATTTAGTACCTAGTACAGTAAGGCCCCACAGAAGTCGGGGGCAGGCCCCCAGCGTATTACATACTACGATTTACTCGTCCATGAAAATAATTATAAAACAAGTCCCATCGAAGTTCATGGACGAGAAGAGAGTCATAAGAGCTGTAGAAGGAGCTAGAAGAACGCGGATAAAACAGAGAGTGGGATTGACTCTGAGTAGAAGGAGAGGGAGCAGAGAAAAGAAAAAAAAAGCAAGTTAAAGATTGCTAAAAGAGAGAGAAAGGAAGAGAGTGCCGGCATAATTAACAGTGGACGCTAGTAGTTGGTACGAGTGAAAGGGACTGATCGGTCTCTGTGTAGTGGGGAGGTTCATTGTGGTAACTCAGGGTGTTCATCTCCCGTAAACTCGTAGTACGTAAAGGACTGTCGACGTGTGACGTCACCATCACAGAGCGCCACAAGAGAATCAACAAACTTGCGCGAGCAAAATCGGCCACGATATTTCCCGGTTACATTCGTCGTGTAAAAAGTGAGGGAGTAGGGTGAGGAGGAAAGGACGGACCACACTCATCAGGAATTAGGAATACCGATAGTGCAAAATTAATAAAACCTGTGGTTATATTGATAACAAAGTGCGTGGTGACGTGTAGACGTAGCGTAGCGAAGTCTCCGACGGCTATACTGTTGTCAAGATGGCGTCCAAGGGAAAACTAGCGACCGAGGTGAGTCCGAATTTTTGACAAAGATCCGCAGAGATTCTCTAGATGGCGCGAGACGAGAACACTCCCTGAATCCTGTTACCCAACGACACCACCGATGTCCTCCCTGGCGTAATATTCGAAAAATCTGTTTTGAAAAATCAAAAGAAATTCCAACAAGAATGACGGGTGTGACGACGCCTCTTCCTCATGTATAGTCCATGCTTCGCTATCGTACGTATTATACGTACAGTTTAGTCTACCACGAATCCCTTACCTACAGATAACCACGCCCAGCTTCGTGCATGAACCTACGTACGTGTTAAATCCAGAATATTCTGACACCTCACTCTTCCCGGTTAACCTAGGTTGTACATACCGAAATCCTCCCGACATTCCCTCGGGATACGATAATAATGCCCGACGTTTGCCTCTCATTCTCGTGCTTCGTTACTCCTTCATTCTCTTTCTCTCTTTGGCTGCGACCAATAGGCAGCCTCCCGTGCCTGTAAACGCAGACTGCCGTCAGATGCCGGTATGCTGCTATACGTTTGCCAACCAGGATCGTACGTTACTAGCTAACGCACGATGTTCGCAACTTAAATATTAATTTTAACGAATTAATCCTGGTTACTGAATAATCAGAATGGCCACTCAAGTTACCGGTTCACATAATTCTGTTATTAACGTTATCTCGCCAATGCATACATATATATGACTGAGTCAGACGATCATGTATGTATATACTTTTTTTATAGTTAGATTGAAAACGAATTGGATCCAGGTGAAACCATACGTTAGGCATAACGAGTGCACAGCTGTCAAGTGCTCATTGGCTGTGACTTGTCGTAACCTTAGAACGATAGTTCGTACAGGACATTTTAGCCGTTAAAATTTCAGTTAGATGATTATTACTAGAGGTTCACTGGTAATTTAATACTCGTGGATGCATTTAAATATATATATATCAGCATCGTTGAACTCGAAACACGTGGATGCTAATCTCGTAAGGACTTGCAGATTGTAGGTAATCATTTAATAGATAAAGCTCTGTAGGCCATGCAATCTCAGCTGTGAAGTGTATTATTGTCCGATTAGAAAAACTTATAAGGATATTAGATATACAGTAAGGAATATCGATAGGCACAAAGATAGAATATACAAAATGAACCTCATAGTTTAGATTTTCATACTTTTATAAGCTAATGCGCTTTTAATATCCCTCGACGTCCCGACGCCGATGACGAGACTAATCGCTTTCGTTATATATATATATATGCCATACAAAGGGTATATATACACATATATATAGACGCCAGTACTGCAATACAGTTGCAGCTGTATTCCCGTTAGAAGCACTGAAATAACGTACCACTTAGCAGATAACCAAAAGTAAAATATCTGTGGTAGACTGCTTCTAATATTAGGGTTACGTAGAAATTCGCCGCGTTTAATTTTATTTGAATTTTATGTATGCCACTTATAGATTCCCGATGAACATTACAGTCTAGTAACACCAGCTGTGTTATGGAGTAAACTATAAATCGATATGGTAATCAGCATGTTAATTTTCTGATTCAACGTGAGAAAACACTTTGTTATTATTTAAAAAATCGCAAATTTCTGAATTCTTCGATAATATTACAGTATTATACTGTATAAATTGGCACTTGGCCACTTGGTAAGTTTTCAACATAAAAAATGTAATATACGTTCCACGAAATTTTATTATTTTACACATTGACAGAGGATTATTATAAAGTTCGTTTGAAGTACTGAAAATAATTTCTCAGCACAAATTCTAATCACTTTCCACTGAATTGCCCATAAGAATTTGATGACCCGTAAAGCACCCGTGGGTGCTACGGCACTGGGCCTCAGGGACGATGGTTCGCGTTCCAGTAACAAGATGTCGCCACTTGACTCCTTTTGGAAGGAGAATTCTCATAGCAGACGACGACTGACTGACTGACTGACTGGTTGACTAGCTGACTGGCTGCCTGACCATTTCACCATCTCGCATCCACACGACCGTCTCACCTTCGACGCTAATTTGAACGATACGGTTCGCGCTTATTATCGCTAAATTAGCCATTATGTCGTTATTTTAACGAGTCAATGTGTGTCAAGGGGCCGCACTCCGTGTTCCGTGCACAGAGGTGGCCTCTCTGGCATGAAGCCATCCCTCTGACCCCCTGGCCCTTTTAACCCCCTCATGAAAACCCTTACGAACATCATAACATCCAACAGCCTCCTTAGCAGCATCCTGACAGATAGTAGAGACCACATAAACCATCGTACCTTGACTCCTCGATGTCTTACGTGACGTGTGTATCCCTTGTTCCACACGTCCCTGGTCCTCGGTGTCTACACCATATACATACACGCACACCACTTTTTTCTATTTTTATCATTTATAGGTTTTTAATACAGCGGAAGGGAAATCGACCCTAATCTCACATAGCGAACCCAATTCCCAGTTCCCCCCCCGATTCAGCAGTCGTTCTAACCTGGCTGCTGTCTGTTTCTACCTTTTTCTTCTTTAATTTCTTTTTCCCTTATCTCTTTGCATCTCTTCGTTTTCTTTTTGTCACTTTTTTTCTTCACTGTACCACATCCTGTGAGGATTAATTCCAGAATCGAAAATTACTTTGAGAATTCCAGCAACTCTCGACGGACCGCGTGGGTTTGACGAACGTGAAAAATGAATGATGGTAAGGCAGTTTTTTTCGGTAGGTAATGAAGTAATACTCAGGGATCAATATCTGTATATGTTTTTACATTTACCCTCCTTATTGTCTCTTTATGCATAAGAGTACCTTTTTTTCTATTAACTCTAATGGAAATCGTGTTACGATCGCTCTCGTGCTATCAGCGTGTTACGTAATCGCAAGGAGTTGACGCTCCCTGCACGCGTACCATTTTCCTATCCGGTCTCCTCGGCTCTCTTTGTTCTTTTTCTACCAGCGGGAGAACATTCAGCGGTGCATTGATCGTCTGAGAGTCTGAGGCATGCAAAGGACATTAAGGATCCTCCACACGTGACGATTGCCACGCCTCGCTCGATAGGCACTTTTTCATGATGCCAAAGAAGAAAAAAAAAATAAATGTCACCCGGCATTCGCAATGGCGAGCCTAACGCGAGTGTCGTTCGTTTATTTTTCGAAAAATCTTACTTATTTTTTGTCACACCCCTCTCGGGCTACCATTCAATAAATATTACCTTACGGAGACGGCGTCGGGTCACGAGAGTTTCTATAGAAAAAATATATCCAGGGTTCGTCTGATCATCCCCAGAGAACCCCCATTTTACAATACCGAGCCTGAATCGTAAATTCATCATCGAATTAATCAAATTCGAAATTCCTTGCTTGATCTCGAGACCCCTAATGAATTGCTGAATAATTTCAGTAGCATTGCCACCCTTACAGGTCACGTTCACCGGTCACGTAGTGAACTTTAGGACGAGCTAAGCAGGATCAGCCTTTAATATCGATAAGGGCAAAACCTAGGAAGACGTTACAGGATGCGAAAAATATTTTTCTTTTCGAAATCTTATCGGTGGCCTCGTGCAGCAAAAATATTTAATTTCCGGCAGGGACCCTTAGCCAGTATTACTCGGCCACTGTGTATATTAGCCCTAACTACGCGAAGGCATTGACAATATTTTTTCATATCTTTTTGAAATTCCCGATGAGCCTCGAAACGCCAGAAAATAGATAATACAAAGTTAACACGCGCGTCTATAAAAAAGTACTATAAAAAGTTAAGATACTCGAGCAACGTTTGTTGTCAGGCTTATCTAATCAGTCGTACCCAATCGTTTAGAGCGTATATATACTTCCCTAATCGGTATCGATTATCGATACAGGCGATCGACTCAAACCGAAATCTCATCGATAAGATTGATTAGCGTTATCTCTGATACGCGAATCGTCGGATTCGGTGAACGCGAAAAAAAAAAGGTCGAATCGTTTGGGTTTCGCGTTTCTTCTCTGTGGCCAACGTTGATTGGGCTATTTAATGGCAGACTTCCTCGACCTCGAGGGGTCGACCCACGCGCACTAGGATGTTGGTTCCTGGGAAAGAAACCGCCCTGAACTGGCCCTTAAGATGCACTAATTCCCTTCGGGCTCTCCTCAGATAATCGCCATAGGGCTCAGACTTCCCGAGTGTCGCAAGGAAATCGGATTGTCTTTGGTAAATGCATATAAGGGCTCCTGAAATCTTTTCTATTATTTTTTTCCTGAAAGCTACTAAGAGGAGGGGGGGGAGAGCAGCTAGGAAAAAAAGGATAAGAAAACAAATAAGGATAATTCCTAAGGGAATACGAGATCAAGATGGGAGTGAAAGATACGAGTATCTACGTATATATCTAGATAAACGGATAGATGGGTAGATAAATAGATAAATTACTATATTATCTTTTCCCTACTTCAGTCCTGCCTGAAGGCTCGTTAATCAAGTCAATGTAACGAGGAGCCTATACGACGACCTGACAGCTGTCAAAATGACAAGAGCCTTGTAACCGCGTGTCTAGTGTTTATCAACAATTCAAATATCCTATATACAGATATATTAATGCGTTTGATGAAAATAAAAAGTTTGTACGGGCTTCGAAGGCGCTGTGAAAATTTGATAATAATTTATCGATTCGAGAATTTTTTTTTATTATCCCACGCTGGTACCACTTTGCAACGCTGATCTTTATTTTTCATCCCTAAACAAGACAAGAGAGAAGAGCCGATCGCATCGATGCAGAAATACGATCGTACGGGATTCACGTGTGAATTTACATGCGACTATCTCAAGTTTCCAATTGGACGACTTGATGGATTTTGACGGTATAAGGAATGGCATGATAGAAATATTACGTGAATGTATGTACAATATATGTACTTCTGTATACCTAGAAACTTGTACGGAAGATGACTAACGTGGCGCGATGTCGCTCTTCTGGTTGGTCAAGCGCGCTCGGTGCTACAGTGATAAGGGCAGAGAGTTAAGAGAGACAGACGGGAAGA